GAGGCGGAGGCCGAAGGCGCGGCCGCGCACAGCAGCAGCAGCCCTAGCAGTGCCAGCAGAGGCAGCGGCGCTGAGGGCAGCACGGACGCCATCGTCGGTCGGGCCTAACACACACACACATATGCCCGTCAGTAAGGGTCGCACGTGCGGATGTTTTACATACTTTTTTATATATTACAATATTTTTTATTTATTTTTTATATATTACAATATTTATTATTTATTTAACTGTTATTTACGCACAAAGTTTATTATAAAGGTTTCTAATGATCGAGCGGCGACAAAATGCCCGAGGGCTGTTCGACGCCCGAGATCATTAGAACCAGTTAACGCCCGTGGTAGTACATATCTGATTTTATTTTTTTACCTAATTTTACTGATTCAGATTTACTTCCTTACTAATTAACTAGATGTTTACTTTAACCGGTACGTCTTTTCATATTTTCCTCCTATAATTCCCATTCATAATTCCCTCCGCAAGGTAACATTTCACTTTTTTCATATTTCCTCGTAACAACGGTCCTCTCGATCCAGGTTATTCAGTGTATATTGAGCTCCGTATTGTAACGTCACACTCTTCGTGAACGTGAATTGATCAACTCCACTCCCGATGTTAACAATAAAATTGTTTGACGCGGAGCGGGCTGTAGGAATAAACCGCCCTTTCAACATCAGTGTTTTTAAATAGAACTTGGAAGAACGGCCCGAAACCCTACATTGAGCGTTACACCTTATCGTTCATGAGCTGAAATACTGGCCCAACTCGAAACATAAATTTTGAGTTATGACACTCATTTTAAAACCTTTATAATTGTTATTTTTAACGGAACTCCTACGATGCCTTTCAGAAATGCTTACCACTTAATGCACCAGTTACTAATCCTACGATACCAATAATTCAGCCACTTAAAACTTAAGCCGTGATTCTCTCGAAACATCACTTTAGAGTGGTGATAATATTGCAGCCCATAAACGATTAAGTCACGGTACAGCGCGTGCGTAAGCATTCTAATGTTGCTGAGAGTTCATTAACAGAGAGGTCGCAAACACAAATTAGGACAATTACATCGCACCGAATATCAAATAGTCAATATAATTTAACCTAGATTTCGATATCCTGAGACTGTATGACTACGGCTATGAGGTCACTCAAAAAAGAAAACGTCCAAAAATGTAATGGAAGATTCAAAGATGATTGAGTGATTGATTGATTGTTAATGATTCCGGACGCGTCAACGATTGAGGTCATTAGTCCTGTAAGAGTGCGTGTTTTTGCTTGGGACTAGGCTGTGGTCTTTCCCCGCTGTATGTCGAGATTCAGCGACGACCTACGGTCGGCTAGCGGGGTTTCCGCAACCAGGTATCGCCCCCCAGCGGGGCACCACCCGAGTCGGGACAAGTCTCTGAGTTCCCGACCAGTCTCAAGAGAAAAGTAGTATACTGTATAAATGGTGAAATGCTCAACTAGGAAATATTAACTTGATATAAACATTATTTTGTTTAAATAATAAGAAAATTGAAATTTTGGAATGTTTCCGCGATAAAAGAAAGAAAAGAACGAAAAAAGAAAAGAAAGGAAATAAAGAAAGAAAAAAAATGACAGGATTGATAAGTAACAGGAGTAGTTATAGATGCAGGAGGCACATTGGCAAACATCCTCCAAATCTGGTTTTTTGATTAAGGGAATCCTCTAAATAGCTCTGGCCAATAGGCACACTCTTGCATTCGCCATGCCGTTTTAACACGGTCGTGTTCGCCTGTGCGTCTGCCAGAGCATTGCATTGCACAAGTTTGTAGTAAGCAATGGCCAGTATATTTCTCTGCATCCGGCACACCCAGATATTTTACAACATGAAATGATTTTCTCCAATTGTGTTCTTATGTACAGAGTGTGCAGTACAACAGCCATTCATTTAATTTAAGAAGAATCTTCCAGAACCATTCTTTAGTCGTAAAGATGCATAGTCTCTGGTCAATTTCCAACTGTTTATTTAATTTGCATCAACATTCTTGACAGTCTGGCACAGCAATCGTAAAAATAATTACTGAACCCTTGTGCACTATGTGTTCGGATATGAAAGACACCAACTCATTTCGACAAGAGGCACCAAATTATCAAAGAATCATCAAATAGGCATCAAATAAAAGAGCACCATTTGTCATTTCTTTTAGAAACTTATTGATAAATTGTAATAAACACTAAGGTTTATAACTCTGTTCAAAACTTAATATTTTCCCTTTGTAACATTTTGATCGTTGCTTTATAAGTTCAGTGAGCTTATAATACTGGTTAACATTTACATTATTTTTATTAATATATTCTTAAGCATTGAATACTGAGTTGGAGGAAAATGATTTTGACAGGTCTTCGAATTAACCACTTATCTAGTTCTTACATCATGGCGGCAATATTTCTGCGATAATATAAGCTGTAATATTTCTTTTGTGTTTTTTATAAAGGGAATTTTAATATATATATATATATATATTAAATGTTAATAATATATAATATATATTATATATATATATATATATATATATATATATATATATATATATATATATATATATATATATATTAAATGCTCCTGATTGCAAAACAATCATCGCGTTCACAAATAACAAGCGGCATTGTAAAAATGTTAAGCCTCCCAGAAACTATCTGAGAGGAAATTAAATTACATTTTCACTTAATTTCACTAATTATAATGAAATGGTAAGCCATCCTCAGTCAGTTTCAATCCAAAGTGCTTACTCGTAGTTTGATAGACACACAATTTCCGTGGGAAAGCAGTTACAATAGAAATAATTATAATAAATTGTATTTGCTAGTTAAACTGGCTTACTCAGCGAATTAAATGTTGGTAATTTCAAAAATGAACCAATTTTTTTATATCTGAAACAAAGTAAGATTTGGAAGAAATTTGCTATTTTTGTAGGGAGCACTCGTAGTAGTTTTTTTCTATTACCCTTTCGTTTCAAACATCAATGTTAACCATCCGTTAATTTACACCTCAGGATCTATATAGGAGATGATCGACAGTAATTGTGAAGGAAATTAATTAAACGCCCCAAATATAATTTACATTATCTGGGATGATTTTGAACGACATGTAAATTTGCTTTTCAGTGGACGGCGACAGCGTTGACAGTGGCGCTGCCTAGAGGCACCAGGAAAAACTGCGTCACCTGTTGCTCTGTGGGGCCGTCAGGCAGCGTGCGCGTCGGAGCAAGGCCACGGTTCACCGGCTTCGTCGTTAGAACGCTTGCAATTAACGCAAATTGCTTTCTTCATTAGCGGCGTAATTGAGACACTTTGTTCGAACTCCCGGCGGCAAAAATCTCTAGTTAAAGTACATTCAGAGCCGGTAAATTCGACCGTGTTGCCCGGGGGAGGGAAGTGGTGGTCGGTGTTGCTGCTTCGCGTCCGGAGTTGGGTGGGTGGTGGTCGGTGGCGAGGATCCGGGTGGCGGTGGAGTGGGGTGGGGAGGGTCAGAGCAGACGCGAAGCGGTGGTGCAGCGAGTGCGAATCGGGGTCGAGCAAGGGAGGGGGGAATTTCCAGACGACAGTGGAAGGGGGTATGCCACGAAACTCGGCTTCTATGTACGAGGAAGGAGTTTGCGAAAGGATCGCAAGAGATGCACGGTGAAGGCGAGAAGCAGAGATGGAATGGGTGCGCTGTGAAGGTTGGAAGGAAAAGGTAATTGAAGAACTCGATATTTTATCTCTCGAGAGTTGCTCCACAGCATTTGCAAGGCAGCGGCAAGAGCTGGGGTGGAGGGTGGGGATGGAAAATGTCTTCTTGTACGTGAACCGCAACTTCGAAAACTTTTCAGTTCTTCAGAGCTAACGAGGCAGAAGACCATTTTAACTGTTTGTGGGACCTTAATGTTAGGTTACCTCCATGTGGCGGAGAGTGACTGACGATTCTTTGCCGGAGTTTTTCAAATTACTTACTTTTTCTTTTGAAAGCATGAATTTATCTTCTTCCCAAGTTCTTTACTTGGTTAACTTTCTTTCATTGTCTTATTCTTTTCGCTATTGTATCAACGTGTTTTATTTTAGTATTACAACAAAAATACTTTTAAATGTAAAGGTTTAAAACATAATGTGCAAATAAAGGAATTTAAATAAACTGGATTAGAAAGTTAGTTCTAAACAAAAAATGAACACGCGACACATCACATTCTTATATTTCTAAAAAAAAAAATTATAATTTTTCCCTAAGATGTTAAACTTGAACCAATCACATGAATTTATAGTTCCACTTACGGAAATGGTTGTGAAAATATTGTTACAAAGCTAAGGATCACGTGGTTACTTTTATGGCATTTGGTGAACGGTGAATGAGAATTATGTTTTTTTGAATCCGTTAAGACTTGTCAAAATGTTTCGGCACCTAATTATTCAAGCTACACCATAGAAAATAAGCACAATTTGATAGATTCTCGAATGCACGATAATACATTACTAAACCTAGTGGTGTTACAACAGCTTAATTTACATTCTGTTATTATTTCTACATTTGCGATTTTCGAAAATTTAGAGATTTCCACGAAAAAGAGACCTGCACCATTTTGTAAAGCATCCATTCTTCTATCTATGGTAAAAAAGAATGAAGAAACTAGGGTAGTTTTTGAGAACTTATTTAAAGAAATTGTATGAATTTCAAATGAAAATTACGCGAAAACTACTTGTTACTTCGTAATTGTACTTTTGCAATTTTCAAAACGTTTGGGAATTGAACAAACATGAGACCTGCACTATTATCTTAAATGTGTTTTACGGTATCCGGCAACGAAGTTAAATAAAAAACTAGTCGCTATTTTTGAAAAACGTTTGAAAATGGTTTTGAGCTTCATGTAAAGTATCCTCAAAATGAAAATATACGTTTGAAACTCCCAAAGACACAAGTTCATTCAGATTGGGGAATATCAATTTTGGAGAAAATCGACACGGTTTCGAAGCTTGTGTCGTCTACAGGCTAAGGGGTGGACGGACGACATGTTTTGCCGTCAATCGATTTTTCGGTTTCAAGGACCCACAAAACATTGATTCTCTTTACACCACACGTTAGAGGATTTTTTCTGAATTTAGCAACAG